TGGCGACTCCTCTATTGGAATAACATCGGACTCCTATGCGAATCCAGGAGGAACCCGAGGTTGGCATCCAGTAGAAATCCTATTGGAATCCAGTAGGGGTCTGGAGACTTGAATCCATAGGGGCCTATTGGCAACCAATTGGTTTCTCTCTCTCTCTCTCACACACTCACTCGCCCTCTCTCTCTGTTTCCCTCTCTCTATGTGTTAGCGCGCGTGTATATGCATATTCATGTGTATGTCTATAAACATGTATGTATGCATGTATACATGCGTGTTATATATATATATATATATATATATATATATATATCTATATATACTAGAGCCACGCGCGCGCTTCTCGCGTGTTTAGGTCGATTAAGTTCATTGGGGATATCTTAAACCTTCGTAATATCTTTTAAGCTCGCTTAGGATCTCTTGATATATCTTCAAACATATTTTAAGATCAAATCTCGCACGATCTCTGAAGATCTTGAAATATCTTCGAAGATCCCAACATATCGTTGATGATCATCTCTGATGCTCTTTGAAGACCTCTGAAGATTTCGCAAGATACATGGAGATCTCTTAGGACCTAGTCAGATCTCGCAGGGTCTCGGAAATTCTCGTGCTATCCCGTAAGATCTCGTAAGATGTCTGAAGACTTCATGAGGTCTCGTATGCTATTGTAAACATGTCGACTTCTTCGTACTACATCTGAAGATATCTTAAGATTCCTTCAGATCTCTCAGTATCTTCTAAGCTGTCTTCAGATCTCGCAGGATTTTGAAAGTCTCGTGATATCTCGTACTATCTCGTAATACTTTAAGATGCCGTAAGATATCTCTAGGTCCCGTTCGATATTTGAAGTATTCGTAAGATCTCGTAAGATCTGTTCAGATTTCTTCAGGTCTCGTGAGATCTGTGAAGATCTCATACGTTCTCCTGATTTCTCATAATATTTCTGCAGTTTTTTTGTTTAAAAAAGATCTCGTAACCTCTGAATATATCTTCTGATATCTACTTTAAGATATCTTGCGATCTTTCTTAAGATCTCGTACGATCTCGTGAGGTCTCGTAAGATCTCTTAAGATCTCGTAGGATGTCTGAAATGGTTGGGGTTGGGACCATACCTGGTTGCAGTCCACTCCGGACGGTCGGTCTTGGGACAAGTCGGTTGGGATCCGTCCCATTTCGGGGCGCTGCGCCCCGAGTAGGTGACGCCGGGGCGAGAGGGCGCATGGCAGCATCGCTGGCGCACGTGGGGCTCACTCGGTCTGGCCCGACTCCACAACTGCACGTCCATTCCCAGGAACACGTGGGAAACTGTAGGGGGCGAGAGGGAAGACGAGAGCCCAGGAAATACATGACAAACAGGGGCAATCCTGGGGCCAGCGCCTACATATTTGTGTGTCCTTGGGTCCCTCTCGGACGGGGCCAGCACCATTATAAATCCGTTTCGGAGCGTTCCAGACTGCTCCCAGAGCGTTCCGGAAGGCTCTGAAAAGGCCGCGGCGTCCGAGACATCCTCCAGAGCCGCTGGATCTCAGAGATTCAACCAGCTTACGCCACATCCGCCGACTCTTTTATCGTGGTTCGTGCCCCATGTTGTTTCTGGCACGTCCAGTGAGCGTCGCTTTTGCTTCCTGGGTGCGCCTTGGTGCTTCTATCGGCGGTCATCAGAAGGTATCATCAGGCCTCCTTGAGCTTCTTGGAGGTCTTTCGGCTGCCGCCTGTCACCGTCGCGCCTTCGTCCTCGTCGTCGTCGTCGTCGTCGTCGCCGCCGCGCGGTCGTCGTCATCGTCGTCGTCGTCGTCGTCGTCGTCCTCCTAGGTCTCAAGGTCGAGCCTCGGGGAAAAGAGCGAGGGCGGCGTCGGCGACGGCGAGGGCGACGTACAGAAGCATGGTTTGTGGTGGGACGGCTTGGCGTTGTACTTGTGGGTCCGAGTACCTTGCAGGATGCTCGCTAAACCTATTGGTTCCGTCGAGCTCTCCTGGAGGTGCCCGTTGAACTGGCGGTTCCGTGGAGACGAACGGGTGCTCGTTGAACCGCGGGTTCCGGGTATCCGGCCACGTCTCACAAGGCGTCCAAGACGGCCCAAAAACGTGCCTTGGGGGTAACACAATTGCCCATAAAGGTCTCCAGACAGCGTGCACACGGGCCCCGGCCGGCTTCATGGTGGCCCAGGACGTTTTCAGGGTGGCCGTCTTGGAAGTCTCTTTGCCCGACCTGGGGTCCTTTTGGGACCGTCTTGGGGGCTTCTCTGGCTGTCTCATGGCCCTCTCGGGCCTTCTTAGGGCCATCTTGGAGGCACCTGAGGCGCTCTCTAAGCCATCTTGAGGGTTTTTTCGGCCGTCTTGGGTTGTCGGGAGGCTCAAAACGAGCAAGCCCCACACACCTTCAAAACCCCGGAACATCTATGATGTTGGCCTCTTCGGGCTTTCCTTGATGTCCTCTTGGGGGCCTTTTGGGCCGTATTGGAGGTCTCTTGGCAGCTTCTTGGGCCGTCTTTGGCGATTTTGATAGAATATTGTGCCGCCTTGGGTGCATCTTGGGCCGTCGTGGAGACACGTGGGGCCATCTTGGAGGCCTCTTCGACCGTCCTGGGGCCATCTTGGAAACCTCTCGGGCGGTCTTGGGGCGATCTTGAAGGCCTCTCGGGCCGTCTTGGGCCGTCGAAAAGTTTCCAAACAGCCAAGCCCCAAAATCCTTCAACAACCAATGGGACACCAACGATTTTGGCTGGACGTCTCGAGGGCCGTCTTGGAGGGCTCTTTTAGCCTTCTTGGGCCGTCTTGGGCCATCTCGATGCCATCTTGAGCCGTTTCGCGTTCATCTTGGGCCATCTTGGCGACTTATTGGGGTTACCTTGGGCTCTTTTAGGGCAATCTTTTCAGTCTTTGGCTATCTTGGCCGTCTTGGCGGCCTTATGGGGCCTGGCAACCCTTCGGGCTGTCTTGGGTGCCTTTTGGGCCATCCTGGGGCCACCTGGGAGGCCTCTTGGGCGCTCTTGGCCGTCTTGAAGGCCTCTCGTTCCATTTTGGGCCGTCGGAAGGCCAAAGAGGAGTAAGTAGCGCAACAAATCTGTTTCAACACCTAAGGAACACCCTTTTGGAATGCCTTGGTGAGCTCTTGGGCCATCTTCGGCTCTCTTGAGGCTGGCCTCGCAATCTTGGAGCCATAGTGGGACAGTCTTGGAGGTCATCTTGGGCCACCTTGGCCGTCTTGGAGGCATCTTGGATGCTATCTTGGGCCATCTTAGCCGTTTTGCAGGCGATTGAGCCAACGGAATTGGTCGTTCGGCGGCTGACATTCGCAGCGTTTGCCGGGCACGCATGGGGAAGTGGGCGAGAATCCACGTTTACAGACGGCGGGCATCTGTCAAAGCACCAGAGGCATGACAATCGAATGGCCTTCGGCCCATCCCGCCACAGTGCCTGGGTTGTGGGTATGAGGCCACTTGAATAGCTAATGGGGTCTCGTTTGAGGCCTCTCGAGGGCCTCTTGGGGGCCTGCTGGATGGCTCTTGTGGGCCGTTTGGTGTCCTCGTTGGGCTCCCTGGAAGCCTCTTGGAGCACCTTGGGGGTTTCTTGGGGAAAACTGGGACGTCTTGGGGCCGAAGGCTCGACATTTCCGTCCGGCTTCCCCCTTTAGGCCCCCTCTTAGGGCCGTCCTTCGACCGTCGTGGGGGTTTCTGTGGCCTTCTTTGGGCCCTCTTGAGCTGTACTGTTCGCCTCGAAATTTCCGTTCGGGTTCCCCTTTCTGGGCCCCCTCTTAGGGCCGTCCTGAGGGCCTCTTGGGACGTTTTGGGGGTGACTGTGGCCGTCTTGGGGCCCTCTTGGGCCGTCTTGGAGCCCTCTCGGGGGCCTCTTGGGACTTCTTGGACGCAGTGATCATCCAGAGCCGCGGGGTCTCAGAGATTCTCGACTTATCCTCACCCGACTTTGTCCTCGGCCTGGCTGAGTGTTAATCCTGAAGGGGCCGAGGGCGGCGCCTCCCCAGTCCGCCTCCCTGGACCCGCTTGGCCTCGGGAGGCCGGAACTGTGCGCACACACACATGCACCACACACAAGCCGCACGCACGCACGCACGCACGCACGCACGCACGCAACCACGCACGCACACGCGCACACCCGCGCACACCCGCACATCCGCACACACGCACGCGCGCACGCGCACGCGCACGCGCACGCGCACGCGCACGTGCACCCGCACACGCAAGCGCACGTGCACCCGCACGCGCACGCGCACGTGCACAGCACACGCGCACGCACGCGCACGCGCACGCGCACGCGCACGCGCACGCGCACGCGCACGCGCACACGCACGCGCACACGCACACGCACGCGCATATGCACGCGAACACGTACATGCACACGCGCACGCACACGCACACGCGCACGCACACGCGCACGCCGCACACGCACGCACGCACGCACGCACGCACGCTCGCACACAAACACACAACCACACAATCACACACAAACACAGACACACAGAAACCCACAAGCACACAAACACAAATACAATCACAAGCACGAACACACAAACACACAACACACACAAACACGACACCACACCGACACGGAAACAGAGACACACGCACACAATCACACAAACACACAAGCACATGTACACCCATACACACAGACACACAAACAAACACAAGCACACACACAAACACAAACAGACAAACACACAAACACACAAGCACACAAGCACACAAGCACACAAACGCATAAACACACAAACACACTAACACAGACACAGAACACACAAGCACACAAGCACACAAACACACAATCCACTCAACACACAAACCCACATACCAAGAAACACAGCACAAGCACACAGACACACAAACACACAAAAACACAAACACGCAACACACAATCACACACACAAACGCACAAACACACAAACACACAAGCATACACACAATGTTTGGTCGTCGCGGGCGGGCACACTTGATCACCGTCCAGCCTGCGCGCGGAAGACCGCGCGAGAGCCCAGTAGCCGACGGGCGGAAATACAATAATGATGAAGCTGTGGAAGCCGCCGATCAGCGGAAGCGGGGAAGCGGAGGGCCACCAGGCCAGTGGCAGGGAGAAATGCACACACACACACCGACCCTGGCGAAGCCCATCCTGTGTTCGGGACCATCCCAGGCTCGCCTCTCGGGTCGGACGAGATAGGGGGCATTGGGAAGGGGGGGGTGCAAGATCTGCTGCATGCAGCTGGTGTCGGCCCCACCGCCGGGCGCCTTCCTCGATACACGGGCGCCTCCCGGCGGCGTCTGGAGGGAGGCATTTGTCGGGGGCCCCCAAGCGGTGTGGTGACCACACCGTGCGGTGAGTCGGTTGGGATTCGGGGTCACCGCACGGTTCTGGGACTCGAGTCCTTCTCCGAGGACGTATCGGGCGACGGGGGCCTCCAGGGTTCCGAGACCGTGCGGTGACGGACCGTGCGGTGAGGTCTTGGGGGATCTCGAGGTCACCGCACGGTCCGTCACCGCACCGCTTCGGGACTCCAAGATCTGGGAAATCCGGCCGCCGCGATCCCGCGCGTCCGAGCCGAGCCGCGTCTCTCAGTGCCCGCGCGGCGCCGCACTGGCCCGGCGCCTGCTTGTCGCAGCCGCCGGCGGGCTGCCCCGTTGGCCGAAGCAGACGAAAACTGCACAGCCATACACTTCTCGGCGCGCCGCGCTCGCCGAGCGCGTTCCACTGCTCGCAAAGTGCCCTGCCCACTCGCCAACGCCCGAAGAACACATGTCTGCTGCGATGTAATCTATCGCAGAGCCCCTGCGGCGGATCGAGGCCATCTGCGAGTAGCTAATTACTTTGCGAGTAGTGGAGCGCGCTCGTCTACGCGCGGATCTCTGGGATTGGCGCCTCCGGCGCCGACCCTGGCGCGCTCCCCGCGCCAGGGAGGGGGTGGGGGGGTCCGCGCAGAGCTGAGCACTCCGCGCGGACCTCCCAGAGTTTGTGCTCGTGCAGTTTTCCCCGCAGGCCGGGGCGGAGGGGGGCCCGCTGCGGAGGTGGTCGCGCCCTTCGAGCACCCGTTCTGCGTGCTCGCCGACGCGGGCGAGTGCCCGCAGGCCCTCCTAGAGCGCGCGTGCGCGCGCCGCGCCGCGCGGCGGCGCTGCGGCAGGTCGGAGCCTCGAGTCAGGAGGGGGGACAGCGCAAAGACGCGAACGATAGACGCACATCGTCGCCGATTCCCAGGAAACTGTGGAGCATATGGGAAGTGTGGCGGGGAAGGCGCACCTCCAGAACAGATGGACAATTATGGGGAATCCTGGGATTTGTGTTTCTTGATTTGTGTGTCGCTGGGCACCTTCATCTTCGCCTCCGCCTCTCTCCCCCTCTCAGAGGAGGTAAAGGTACCGATGTCGCTGCTCATCCTGGAGAGCCCTCGTCGCCACGGCTGGGTTCTCTTCGACGAAGTTCTGGTCAGAACGCGCCCCAGGAGAGGTCTGTAGAGTATTCAGCGGTATCAGTACTTTTCTGCTCATCCATCCTCCGCCTCCTCCCTCCTCCCTTCCGCCTGCCTCCTCCAAGGGCCTCCCTCCCTTCCTCCTCCCTCCCTTCCTCCTCCCCTTCCTCCTCCTCCTCCTCCTCCCTCCCTCCCCTCCTCCTCCCTTCCCCCCTCCCTCCCTTCCTCCTGCCTCCTCCAAGAGCCTCCCTTCCTCCCTCCATCCCTCCCTCCGTCCCTTACTGCCTCCCTCCCTCCCTCCCCCTCCAGGGACCCCTCCCTCCCCCTCCCTCCCTCCTCCCTCCCTCTCCCCCTCCCTTCCTGCCTCCCTCTCTCCCTCCCTCCCCTCCCTCCCTCCCTCCTCCTCCCTCTCTCTCCCTCCCTCCCCCTCCTGGGACCCCTGCCCCGCCGAGGCGGCCGAGGGCCTTCTCCCGCGGCCGCGGCATCGCCGAGAGAGAGAGAGAGAGAGAGAGCTTGAGGGCGTCTCGGGGCTCGAGAGTTGCGTCGGGCCTGTCCCTCTACGGGAGGAAGGTTCAAAAGTAGTCAAAGCATAGTCAGGGGACGATCTCTCTGACCATTTTTTGTTCTACCACAAGAAGCTATTTTTCATTTTTCGTCCCAAATTCCCCTGTGTAGGGGACAGGCCCGACTTGACTCAAGAGACGGGGGTCAAAGCAAATGGGGGTCGGCCAGAGCGCCACATCTTGCAGGATCCTGCAGGGCCAGGGCTGCATCGACCAGGGCTTGGGTGCAGGATCCTGCAGGAGCCAGCAGGAGCTTGCAGTACCCTGCAGAGCCTGACTGGCCCGGGTCTGGACTGACCCGGGTCAGAAGCTCCCCGAGCGTCGGGGTCCTGGGGCGATGCTGCGTGGAGCCTCGGCCAGCTGAAATTACCAGCCTGGAACATATCCCTATCCCTATGCTGGGCACCTCCTCATCACGATGCCAATCTTAGGGGTTCCCTTATTTTTTGAGGGCGAATCCCTAAGATTGTCATCGCCTTTTGGCGTGTCAATCTTAGGGATAGGGATACGTTCGAGGCTGGTAATGAAAGGTCGCGTGACGCGACTCGAGTCTGGCCCCTGCACCCAGATTTTCCGCGAGATGCATCAGAAGAGGAAAAGGTACGCATACCGCTGCCCCTCCATCGTTTTCGCCTTTTTCGGCCTCCTGGTGGGCCCTCGTCGCCACCACTGGATTCGCCTCGAAGTTCTGGTCAGAACGCACCCTGGGAGAGGTCCGGCGAGTAGTGGTACCGGTATGGTTTCCCCAATGCAGGTGTGATTTGATGATACTTTGGAGGCGGGCCGTGTCAGTGTCGGGCATCGACTCTCGTGGAGATGGCGCTCTCCTCGGGGCCACCTGGTTGGCCGAACCAAGAGTCCCTTCTGTAGAATGCCTCCCCCCCTCCACTCCTGTCGAGGTCAAGGCCCACTCGACCCAGCTCCTCCACCTCCCCGACCCCGAGGTATAGCGTGTGGTGGGGGCAGCCACCTTGCCGACGAGGCTGCCGAAGCGGGACTTCCCTCCCCCATTCCCCTGTAGGTCTTGCTTTAAGTCGGGCCTGTCCCCCTACAGGGGGATTTTCGACGAAAAATAAAAAATACCCCCAACAAATAATCAAAAGATAGTCCAAACATAGTCCGGGGACTATGTTTTGAGTATGTTTTGGCCTTCTGGGGGTATTTTTGGGGTATTCCTTATTTTTCGTCGAAGATCTCCCTGTGGGGGGACACGCCCGACCTAAGCCCTGCTGGAACATCCGAGCCCAGGCATCGAGAGGTGCAGCAGGTCCCGCGCCTGGCAGCCGACCTCGCTGCCAGGGCGGGCCAGTGGCGGACACCACCCCGAACCCCATCCGAAGGGTTAAGTCGGGCGTGTCCTACAGGGTGATTTTCGACGAAAATTAAAGATACCCCAGACATACCCCCCAAAGGCCAAACAATACTCAAAAGATACTCCCCAGACTTTTTTTTTTTTGTTTTTTTTTTTGTTTTTGTTTTTTTTGTTTCTTTTTGTTTTTTTGGGGGGTATTTTTAATGTTTCGTCAAAAATCCCCCTGTAGGGGGACAGGCCCGACTTCACCCAAGGGCTCGGAGGAGGAGGAGAGTGGGCGGTGCGCCCCAGGCCCAGGACCGCGGCTTCCCAGCCGCAGCTTCTTCCGTCTGCTGGAGACAGGCAGTCTCGGATGCTCGGTGCGGCAGGAAGGCCACCCCGGCCAGGCAGCGGGCCAGTCTGGGCCGCTCGGGGTGCACGAGCTGCACAGTCTGCCGCACTGCGGGGCAGGGGTATGCCCCGCCTCCCCCCGCCCCTCGGGGGTGGAGAGAACCCCCACCCTGACACGTCGATTAGTGGATGGTCCCTTTTTTCGGTTCTCGAGAGGGCGCCGCGGCCGTCTTTTTCCAGGTTTGCGCCCGCCAGGTTTGGGCCCGAGGTCGTTTTCACTAAACCACGTTTTGCTAAAGGGGGTTCTGTCCATCCCCGAGTCCCTCTCCGCGGGTGATCGAAACCTGTTTCGGGGCTATCCGGTGCTATCATTGTGGAGCCCGCTTTTTTTCAGACGCTTCGGGGCCTCGCTTTTATTTGCGTGCGTAAGCTTGCATGTTGGGATGCCACCACTCGTATGAGTTGTCTCCGTGTGGGAGAGCACCCCACGCAAGCTGCGAGTTTTGCCGATCCAAGTCTTACTACATATGAAGTGGCCGTTTCGAAGGAGATCTGGCACACGGCTATAGTTTCGTGTTCCGAGCAGTGTGCGCATAATGCGGCGGACTCGTTTCTGCCGCACATTCTGCAGACCCCTCCCTCCTCCATACTGGCGTATCCCTCCTCGCACCTCCTAGACCCTCCCCCCAGGGAGGAGGATTGGGAAGGAGTAGGAGGAGGAGGAGGAGGAGGAGGAGGAGGAGGAGGAGGAGGAGGAGGAGGAGGAGGAGGAGGAGGAGGAGGAGGAGGAAGGGGAGGACGAGGACCAGGAGGCTGAGCAGCACGGGGCGGCGTGGTGTGGATGCAAACGTGTGTCCACGTAGTGGTTCCTTGCGCGGAAGGTGTCGCGCTTTTGCGACGCCGTGCTACCGAGCGATGGCGGCCGCCGAGCGAGCTCCGTGCCAGGGAACGAACACCACTCATCGCTTATCACTTTTCGCCCATTATCCATTGCCCATGCCCACCACATGCCACTGAGCGTTCATCAGTCGCAGCCCGTTGCACGCCACTCGTCGTTCGCCACGTAGCACTGGTGACTGTAACGTTTTAGGCTCAAGCTGTTGTGATCGTCGTTGATGGTTTCCAATCCGCGTGTCATGCCAGTGCGGCGTCCTCTTCTTTGCACAGCTGTTGCCGTTGGTATCTCTATATGGCTGACATGCCCCGTGTTCACTCACGCGTGGGTTGCCCTGGTCCGGCCCCCTGCCCGAGCTCTCCGAGTGAACAGCCACGCAGCAGTTGGCAGAACGTGCTTGCAGCTGCAGCCCCCGCCGTCCAGGGCCAACGGCGCAGGCAGCGCTCCGAGTGATCGGGGAGGGCGAACGCATTCCCGCACTCGTGTACACACCTCCTCGCCCCCCCCCCCCCTCCCCCCCCTCCCCTCCCCTCCCCTTTCCCCCTCCCAGGAAGGGGTAGCGAGGGGGAAGAGGATGGGGCCTAGAGGCCGCAGTCGCAGAACGAGGAAGGGAGACGGGCAACAATGACCGAGGTACCGATGGAAGGCCCACGAACACCGAGCGCACGCGAGTCACGCGAGGGCAACAGAGCACCGACCGAGACTAGAAGAGCGGGAGGCGGAGGAAGAGGCGGCGGGCCAGAGAAATCGTGTTCGTCCTCCCCGTGATGTGGCATGTTGCTCCCTGCCCGTGCCACGGGCTGCAGTCCCAGACCTCTGACCACTCGATATGTTCGAGTCTCGGGCCCCAGGACCTCTCGACCAACTCCCCGGGACCGGCTTTTCATCCTGGGTTGTTGTTTGACAATCTCGGGGCCCGCAACATGGCATCCCGGGCGGAACATCTATGAACACGCGGACTCGATATTCTCGAATCCTCTGAAGGTCTGGGGTGTCACCAGGGGCCGCTCCAAGGCGTTCGATGTTCGCATCCGCAGTTGCGGCTGCGGGTCTGGCGGCGGCGGCGCCAGTAAGCGCACGTCAGGCCGTGGAGGTCGATCCGAACGCCTCTCGCCGTTACCGCCTGCTTCCTGTAGTTGCACGCAGCAAACACCACCGTGAGGAGGGGGGACAAGGGGTTCTGAAGGGGTATTGCCCCTCCTCGTCCCCCGCGGTCTGGGCCAGCTGCTTTGGCTTGCTGCCCTAGACTGGCATTGGTCCGTGTTCTTGACGCCGTGTAATACCTCCACAGAGACAGGGAGTGGCGGACTTCTCTGTAGATCTACCCTCAAGCAAGTGGAAAGTGAAGACGCAGATAAAGCAGGCTATCCGCTTGACGAAAGAGAAGGTGTACGAGGCTTTCGAGAAAAGCACGGGGGCATCAGTCTCCGTGACTCGCACACCAATTGCATTGAACAAAGATAGGGGTGGGACTGACAGACTGCAAGAACTTTCTGGTGCATTTGATGAAACTGTGCCAACATCCAAGGAGGACGTTGTGGATGTCCTCACAAGGACCTTCACCGACCCTGTAGCGCGGCGTCAGCGCAAGTGGATGCATGTTGAACGGTTTCCAGACATTGAGGATTATAAAGGACTCGCTGGACAGCGCTACGTGGGTTTCAGCTACAGTGTCAGGGAGTGCAAGGGCACGATGCTTGAGTTTAAGGACGGTGGTAGTTTCAAATACGACTGCGATGGCACGGTCTTGCCGCCTCGCCGGCATTTTGTCACGGCGACCGTGATGCCGACAGTATATACGTCAATGCGGAAGCAGGAAGGAGAAGCAGACCGCAGCACGCTCGTCGATTCGCTTTGGCTCTTGGATGCGTCAGCACCCATGGAGAATGTTTGACGCTTCGCGTATCCCCCCACCAGTTTCAGTGTAGCCTCGCCTGCTGGCCCAGACGAGGCCTTCCGCTCCCTGTCCGCCGCCTCGGAGCTGCCGACCAAAAAAGTATCCCCACCAGTTCTGGACGGCGCGCGGTTGGACCGCGACGCTCGCGAACAAGTATCCCCACCAGCCTATCCAGAAACGAAGCCCAGGAGAGTTGAGGCGATCAGGGAAGTGTAGGAGCAAGAGAGGGGGCAGCTGTTACCTTTCAAAGGAGGAGGAGGAGGAGGAGGAGGAGGAGGAGGAGGAGGAGGAGGAGGAAGAGGAGGAGGAGGAAGAAGAAGAGGAAGAGAAGGATAATAGTAGCGAGCAAAAGGGCCAGAGGCCTCTTGAATGCCTCTCCGAGTTCCCTCGGATGTCTCTTGGGAGCTTTTTGGAGGCCTTTTGGAGCGTCTTGGGTGCCTCTTGGCGGTCCCGGGGGCCTCTTGGAGCGTCTTGGGTTCTTCGGGGAGCTGCTTGGGGCCTCTTGGGGGTCTCTTGGGAGCCTCTTGGAGGCCTCTTGGGCGCTTCTTGGGGCCTCCTGGGCGCCTCTTGGGGCCCTCTCGAGGCGGCGCTCTTGGGAGCCTTGGGAGCGCGCTTGGGGCCATCTTGGAGGAGATCGATCAAAAAAGATGTAAGCTCTCATTACGACCCCCCCTCGGGAGCTCCAAACATCGCCTCATGTGCCCCTCTTGAGGCGCTCTTGAAGCGCTCTCGGGGCCGTCTTGGGCTTGGGCCTCTCTTGAGGCCCCATGGGCCCTCTTGGAGCTGTCTTGAGGCCTTGGAAGGCCATCGGAAGCGAAAAGGCGAGAAGGCAACATTCATTGATTGTCCTTCTTGGTTTTGAAGGATGCTGGCCTCTTGGCGGCCTCCTGGGAAGTCTCGGAGGCAACTTGGAGCCGTCTTGGAGCGTTCTTGGGGCCTCGTGGAGCATCTTGGGAGCCATCCTGAGGCATCTTAGGCTATCTTGGGGCCATGTTGGAGGTCATCGTGGACTCTCTGAGGCCCTCTAAGAGCCGTCTTGGGCGAACAAGTACCCTCAAGTACCCTCTGACACCTCGCGGGCCGCCCCGTCCAGGTCCAGGGGAGGGGGTTGGGGGTGGGGTAAGCCCTCCCCAAAGGGGAACACAGGGGGTTGGCAGAGAAAGCTCTCTAGACCACCTACGCCCAGAGGGCTGGTCGGATTTGGAGGTAGACAATGTTGGTGCAGCGCTCGAGAAGACCGCGCGCAGCTTTTCAGTGGTGCCACCAGGGCCAGAGAACTTGAAGCGCTGCAGTGGCAAGACCATGACAGAGTGCTTTGGCGAGGCCTGGAGTGGGCGGGGTACATTATATCGTGGCACCGATCGAGCATCCCTGTCAGGCACATTCAAGGCTGACCGTGCGAGTCAGTGAGTTCGGTTGTCTGGACAGCTGATGTGACCATGCCGTTTGCCCCATCTTCCTCTGTGATGGCTAACCACTTTCTCGATCGTCGTCTCTTCTCAGGCACTGGGCGCCGTTATAGATGTTACATGCTTCCCTATTCGGTCCGTCTCATGGTCTGCACCGCCCTCGTGGCTATTGCCATGGCCCTCATTATTCCCTTGCCTTCCCATCATCATGAAGTATCGTCACCATCGTAAGCAATATCAACATTGACACCACCATCAGCACCACAACCACTGCGGTCGTCATCGTCATCGTCATCGTCATCGTCATCGTCATCGTCATCGTCATCGTCATCGTCATCGTCATCGTCGTCATCATCACCATCACCATCATTATCACCATCATCAGCATCATCAGCACATCAGCTTCACAATCATGATCACCATCATCAACATCATCATACTCATAATCATCATCACCATCATACTCATCATCAACATCATCACCAGCATCATCGTCATCTTCATCGGCACCATCACCATCACCACGTAAAGCAGCAACAACATCACCATCATCACCATCAGCAGCAGCATCATCATCATCATTATCATCAGCGTTATCACCAACCACCGCCACGCACAGTACACACACGCATGAGCTGCACACATCGCCGTCATCGTCACTGCGACCATACCCGACCAGCGCACACGGCCACAGCCACTGTCGTCACGTACGTCGCAGGACTCCGGCGAAGCAGAGCAGCCTTCCGCGTCGTTTGCCTGCTGCGCAGCCGCCCACGCCCGTTGGAATGACGAACTTGCGGCAGAAGAGCCTAAACTCAGGAGGGAAAGAAACACACAGACACAATTAATCGTCGATTCCCCAGAAAATATGGGAAAATATGGGAAGTGGGGGGAAGACAAAAACGCAGGACATATGGGAAAATATGGGGAATCCTTTTATTTGTGTGTATTTATTTGTGTGTCCCAGGGCCCCTTCACTCTGGGGGGCCACGATGGGGGGCCGCGATGGGGAGCCACGATGGGGACGCCAGGATATGAATGAGGACAGGGGAAGGGATACCTATCGGTCGTTGAAAGTAGGTATTTTTGGATTCCCAGATTCCAATATACTTTCAGCGCCTTCCTACTTCAAGAGTCGAGCGGTGTTCCCTCTTCCCTCCTCTTCAGGAGGCGGGCGAAAACCCAATCTATTTCCAACGCCTTCCTATTTCATGTTTCTACCTACTTCTTCCGACCGATGGGTAGGGATCGGAGGTTGCGGGGTGAGATCGAAGTCGATTGGATGGCCCCCGACCCGGACATCTGTTTCGGTTTCGGGTTCGTGTCGTGCGTGCGGGCGGGGCGAAGCTGCTGGGGCGGGCTAGAGGAGTGACTCCGCTGTGTCTAGGGCGGGGCAAGACACTTGCCCGACCCTCCCCCCGGTGGGCGGGCGGTGGCTGGGGGTGTCCCGCCGTGGTGTCCCGTCGACAGGAATGACTCCGCTGTGGCTAGAGCGGGGCAAGACCATTGTCCGAACCTCCCCCCTGGTGGGCGGGCGGTGGCCGTCGGTGTCCCGTCGGTGTCTGGCCCGTGTCCTGTCGATGCCCCGTCGGTGTCCCGTCGGTCGGTGTCCCGTCGGTGTCCCGTCGGTGTCCCGTCTTGCCCCGTCCTAGCCACAGCAGAGTCATTCCTCTCGCCCACCCACGCAGCTTCGCCTCGCTCGCGCGCGCGATGCGAACTCGAAACCGAAACCTATTTCCTGGTTGGGAGCTCTCCGTTCCATTTTGATCTCACCCTGTCCCGTCGGTGTGCCGTCGGTGTGCCGTCGGTGTGCCGTCGGTGTGCCGTCGGTGTCCCGTCGGTGTCCCGTCGATGTCCCGTCGGTGTCCCGAGGGTGTCCCGTCGGTGCCCCGTCGGTGGCCCGTCGGTGGTCCGTCTGTGTGCCGTCGGCGTCCAGTCAGTGTCCCGAGCGCTGCACCGACTGGTGTCCTGATGGTGTCCTGGTGGTGTTTCGATAGGGAGATTGCATCGCAACGCAGTGTCGCCATCACGCGTCGTCGTCAACTCGGGGGCGCATCACCATCGTCATCATCACAACCATCTCAGATGCCATCGGTTGGCCCTTTCCCTACCAACCTCTTATCATCCGAAGGGTGGTCGTATAGGCAGGGATATCAGGATAGGGATCGGGATGGGGATGCAGACAGGGACATGGATAGAACTACAGGATAGGGATATTGGGGAGGGGGGATAGGGACAGCGGGATAGGACTCTATATATACGGATACGGATAGGAATACATATAGCGATAGACAATTCGAGACAGTGGGAGGCAATCTGAGACACTTGGAGACAAGGGAAGGCGATGAGAGGCAATTTGAGACAATGGGAATAGCGTTTGAAATAGAGATGCGGGTAGGGATGGGGATACTGGTATGAATAGAGGTAGGCAATGGGACACAATGGGAAGCAGTATGAGACAACAGGAGACAACGTGACACTCTGGGAGACAATTGGAAACAGCGCCGCCAGACCGCTTCGGGATCCAGCAACGCACCTGCTAGCTTCTTGCCTATTTCATCCAAAAGGAAACGGGGAGATTGCCTCATGTCGCAGCCCGACCATCTTCGCCAGGAGAAGTCCGCGGACAGCAGGGCCTTGCACGTAGTCGTTAGTGGTTGCCTTGCAGTCGTTCTCTCCGAGAGTCCGAAGGGCCTCCGGCTCCAAGAGCTCAGTCGCCCATCATCACGGTTGGCCTTCACATGGCGAGCCGCTGGGTGGTGGACGGGCAACGATTCAATGGGGGTTGGGATTAGGAAGCGCTTTGATCATGTGGTGTTTCGGTGCCCCGTATACCTGTCTGGGGCAGGCAGGGAGGAACAGCCTGAGCAGGATAAGATGTATTTCAGGCAAATAGAACATCATTGATGCTGACAATGAGGACATGATCATGAAGGTGGTGGTCATGACGATGATGATGATGCTGCTGATGATGATGATGATGATGATGATGATGATGATGATGATGATGCTGATGCTGATGCTGATGCTGATGATGATGATGATGATGATGATGATGATGATGATGATGATGATGATGATGATACTGATGATGATGATGCTGATGATGCTGCTGATGATGCTGATGCTGATGATGATGCTGCTGATGACGACGCTGATGATGCTGATGCTAATGCTGATGGTGGTGATGCTGCTGCTGCTGATGATGATGCTGATAATCATGATGATGGTGATGATGCTGATGATTGTGATGATGATGCTGATACGTATGATGATGCGGATACGGATGATGTTGATGATGATGATGATGGTGATGATGATGCTGTTCATCATGATGCTGATGCTGATGTTGCCGAGGATGATGCTGATGCTGCTGATGCGGATGATGATGATGATGACGATGACGAGGATGATGATGCTGATGACGATGGTGATAATGATGATGATGCTGATGATGATGATGATGATGCTGATTATGATGATGATGCTGATGATGATGATGCTGATGATGATGTTGATGATGTTGATGATGTTGATGATGGAGATGGTGATGGTGATGGTGCTGATGATGCTGATGATGCTGCTGATGATGATGATGCTGATGACGATTATGATAATGCTGATGACGGCTATGCATCGGTGTTGCGTAGGGCGAGAACGAGCTGACCCAACCTTAAGTCGGGTTCGGTTCGTGTTCGTGCCTTGTATGTGGGCGAGGCGTAGCTGCGCTGGGGTGACGATGTGTCGTCCGAGGCTGAGGTCAAATCGGACAAAAAAATCCCCCGCGAAGAGGATGAGGATATGGATGAGGATGAGGATGAGGATGCGGATGATGATGATGCTGATGATGATGGTGATGCTGCTGATGATGATGATGTTGATGCTGTGATGATGGTGATGATGATGGTGGTGGTGATGCTGGTGATCACGATGATGCTGATGATGACGGTGACGAGGATGATGCTGATGACGGTGGTGATGATGAGGATGCTGATCATGATGATGATGCTGGTGATGATGCTGATGATGATGTTGATGATGATGGTGATGCTGATGAAGATGATGATGCTGATGCTTATGATGCTGATGATGGTGATGATGATGGTGATGATGATGATGCTGATGCTGATGATGATGATGGTGGTGACGGTGATGATGATACTGCTGATGCTGATAGTGATGATGATGACGATGATGATAATGATGATGATGATGATGATGATGATGATGATGATGATGATGATGATGATGATGATGATGATGCTAATGCTGCTGCTGATGATGAGGCCGATGATGATGACGATGATGATGCTGCTGATGCTGCTGATGATGATGATGCTTCTGATGAGAAATACGATAAGGAGAAGGAGGAGGGGAATCATGATGATGATGATGATGATGATGATGATGATGATGATGATGATGATGATGATGATGATGATGATGATGATGATGATGATGATGATGATGATGATGATGATGATGATGATGATGATGATGATGATGATGATGATGATGATGATGATGATGATGATGATGATGATGATGATGATGATCATGATGTGATGATGATGCTGCTGATGATGATGATGATGATGATGATGATGATGATGATGATGATGATGATGATGAATGATGATGATGATGATGATGATGATGATGATGATGATGATGAGATGATGATGATGATGATGGAGATGAGGAGGAGGAGGAGGAGGAGGAGGAGGAGGAGGAGGAGGAGGAGGAGAGGAGGAGGAGGAGGAGGAGGAGGAGGAGGAGGAGGAGGCAGGATGACGAGGAGGAGAAGGAAGCAGTGGAGGAAGGGGAGGGACGGTGGGAGGAGGAGGAGGAGGAGGAGGAGGAGGAGGAGGAGGAGGAGGAGGAGGAGGAGGCCTTCTGTTATCTCTTGGTGCGAGAGTCTCTCCAAGGCCTCTTGGGGCCATCTTGGTGTCCTCGCGGGGTCCTCTCGGGGCTGCCTCGGGGGCTCCCCGGGGCGCTCCTCGTTTTCGATTTCGGGGGGCCGGTCGAGGAGGAGCAGCAGCCGCAGAGCCTCCCACACGGTGTGAGCAGCAGGGCTGGGGGCAGCGCAGGGGCAGGCCGGCCGGCAGCCGGCTGCGTCGCCCCCCACCCCGCCCTTCCCCCGGAGGTCTTCCGTTTCCAGCTGGTCCGCCAGCGCTTCCCAGTGGAGGCGCTCCCGCGCATGATCTTCTCCGCCCTCCTCCCCCTGCCCCTTGGAGCGGTGGGATTGTCCATGTGGTGGAAGCGTATCTCGGGGCGCGCCGCGTGTGCGTTCGTGTTTCCTCGGCGGAGCCCATGGAGACGTTCGAACTGCGGGCGGGGCGGCGCGTTGGCCTGGGTATCGGCTTGCACGAACGAAATGGGCACGGAAGGAATGGGTACGATGTCAAACAGCAGTTCCTGTTCGTTTTGAACAGGGCTCGCTGTCCGCGCCGCCGCGGCCTGTGTCCGTTCGAGACAGAAGGCCGCCTGCCCAACAGCGGCCGCTGTTGGTTTGGGACAACATTTGCTGTTGGGCATTGTACCCATTCTTTCTGTACCCGTTTCGGGCGTCCAACATCGGGAGATGGAGATGGGGTCTGCGTGGGGCGGCAGGTTTGTGTCGCGTCGGCGCGGCGGCGACCCTGCCGCGGGCGTGCAGAGACGAACACACAGACACAATCAATCCTCGATCCCCCAGAAGATACAGGAAAATATGGGAAGTGGAGGGGGGGGGAAGACAGGAACCCAGAAAACATTGGAAAATATGGGGAATCCTTTTATTTGTGTGTATTTATCTGTGTGTCCTGGGGCTCCTTCAAGATGGAACGAGCTGGCGATCGAGCGGCCGCCGATCGTGCAGGGGCTCGAACAGCTGGCGCGGTGTTGGAGGCCAGCGCCGCGGTCGTCACGACGCGGCCTTGCCGTGTCTTACCAGCCTCGAACGTATCCCTAACCCTAAGATCGACACGCCAAAAAAGTGATGACAATCTTAGGGATGGCCCCTCAAATAATTAGGGAGTCCCTGAGACCGGCATCGTGATGAGGAGATGCCCAGCATAGGGATAGGGATATGTTCCAAGCTGGTAAGTGTCCTCTCTCGTGCTCCGCTCTCCTTCCCTCCTTGTTCCTCTCTCCCCCACACTTGCACATGATGAGTACAGCTTTCCTCTCTCCCCTGACTCTGTCCAGAAGGTGTCCACCATCATTGATTGTCATTGAATGCGTATCCGTATCGCTGTTCGCGTTTCTTGCTGGTGTAGGTTCTATGTACGTGCATGTGCATATGTATATGAATCGGTCTATGTATATGGAGGTGTATTTGTATATACATATAACGGCGCACCAGGTCCGGGGGCCCGGGGCCGGGACCTCGACCACAAATGTGGGCCCCGGGGGGCCCGGAGGCTCGTCGGACCGCCGGACGCCGTCCAAGATCGTTCGCAGGCGGCTTCGGAACGCGCTCCGATGGCTCCAGATGCCTTCCAAGACGCCTGTCATGACACCAAGAAGGTCCCAGAAGCCTCCAAGACGCTCCGAGAGGCAGCCCAAGAGAGGCCCAAGAAGCAAAAATCGTGCCATTCCTATGGGAAAACGTATATTTTTCGCATGTTCGCCTCTTGGGCTTTCACCGCGTCCAAGACGGCCCAAGAGGCGCCCAAGACGGTCTACGAGGCCTCCGGGAGCGCTCCAAGGCTGCGCACGAGTGGCCCAGGACGGCCCCAAGACGGCCGAAGAGAGCCCCAAGACGAGTTCGAGAGGGGTCCCAGACGGAGAAAGCCAACCTCGAATTCCGAGCTTCCGGCCCAAGAGGCTCCAGGAGGCGCCAAAATGCCGCCAAGAGGCGCCAAAAGGCTCCCAAAAGCACCCCAAGACGTTCCGAGAGGCACCCCAAGAGAGGTCCAAGAAACAAAAATCGTGCCATTCCTATGGGAAAACGTATATTTTTCGCATGTTCGCATCTTGGGCTTTCACCGCGTCCAAGACGGCCCAAGAGGCCTCCAAGACGGCCTAGGAGGCCTCCGGGAGCGCTCCAAGGCTGCGCACGAGTGGCTCAGGACGGCCCCAAGACGGCCCAAGAGAACCCCAAGACGACTTCGAGAGGGGTCCCAGAAGGAGAAAGCCACTCTCGAATTCCGAGCTTCCGGCCCAACATATCCCAGGAGGCGCCAAAACGCCGCCCAGAGGCGCCAAAAGGCTTCCAAAATCAGCCCAAGACGTTCCGAGAGGCACCCCAAGAGAGGTCCAAGAAACAAAAATCGTGCCATTCCTATGGGAAAACGTATATTTTTCGCATGTTCGCATCTTGGGCTTTCACCGCGTCCAAGACGGCCCAAGAGGCCTCCAAGACCGCCCCAAGACGGCCCAAGAAGCTTCCAAGAGGGCCCCAGGACAGCCCAAGAGGGCCCCAAGACGGCCCAAGAGGCGCCCAAGATGGCCCAAGAGGGCCCCAAGACGGGCCCAAGAGGGGGCCCAGAGGGGGACCACGAACCGCAAGCTCGAGCCTTCCGCCCCAAGAGGCCGCCAGGAGGCCCCAAGGAGGCCCCTCAAGAGGCCCCAGGAGACCCCCAAGAGGCCCAAAGGAGGCCCCGAGAAGCCCCAAATCGGCCCCCAAAATGCTTCGAACCTGCTTCCAGGAGGCCCCCGACAGGTTCAGAGGCTCCCGAGAAGCTACGTCAAACTCCCAGCGAGCGGCCGGACGAGGCCCCCCACAAAATCACAAGAGGGTTCCAGTATTTGTATCCTTCAGCGCTCTCTGGCCTTCTTCCCCCTGCCCCCTTCCCTGCGACTTTCGTTGACTCAAGCTCGCCTCCTAGCTAGAACCTAAGCGCGCGCGAAGCGCGCGCGTGGTTCTAGTGTATATATATACATATATATATATATATATATATATATATATATATAATATATATATATATATATATATATATCCATCCATCCATCCATACATCCATGCATCCGTACATGCGTTCATGCATACATACCATACGCATAGATACATGCAGCATGCATACATGCACACACGCATGCATATACACATGCATACATTCATACATGCATGCATCCATGCATACAACCATAACCGCACACAACCATGATTGCATGCATAGATACATACATACATGCATACATACATACACACGTGCATCCATACATACATACATACGTACGTACGTACGTACGTACATACGTACGTACGTGCATGCATGCATGCATGTATGCATGCATGCATGCATAAATGCATACATACGTACACGCATGAATACACAAATACGTACAGGCAGGCTGACAGACACACGTACAGACATACATGCGAAGCACGCCGCAGTCGCGGATAAGTCTGAGGGGGCGGCAGGGACGTCTGCAGTCTGCGAGGCCTTGGAGAAGCCCGCCGCAGGCGCGTTTTTTGTATTCCAGATGATACAAAAAGCCCGCCGCAGGAGCCACTGTTTTCGTTAAAGCGATGTGGGTGGGTCGCGGGGTGGGTCGCGGGGTGGGTCGCGTATGGGTTGCGGGTGGGCCGCGGTTGGGTCGCGTATGGGTCGCGGGTGGGTCGCGGGCGGGTCGCGGGCGGGTCGCGGGTTGGGTCGCGGGCGGGTCGTGTGTGGGTGGAGGGGTGGGTCGCTGGCTGGTCGCGGGTGTGTCGCGGGCGGGTCGCGGGCCGTGTCGCGGGTGGGCCGCGGGTTGGGTCCCGGGGGGGACGACGCCAAATAACAACAACAACAAAAACAACAACAACAGCAACATCAACAACGACAACGACAACAACACCAACAAGGATCATTTATTGAAACAGCAACAGCAACAGCAGCAGCAGCAACAACATTGACAACACCGCCAACAACAAGAAACCGCATCTCGGAAACCCATGTCAGCCACGCACCCAGGGACAGTGAGTGACCGTTCGACCCACTCACTCTGATATATCTATATATATATATATATACACAGCCCTCCGCACGCACCAAGAACCCCCCTTTCTCCAGATTATATGTAAATGTGTATATGGTTCCCACGATTTTCGCACTTCATTTTGAGGCTCATTTTTGGAAGACTTTCTCAACTCATTTTGAACTTGGCAATAACCTTCTACTCAACTCCCTCCGTCTCCAACACACCATCCAGTATTCAACACCTTCCGTCTCCAACACACCACCCGATACTCAACAGGCTCCTTCCCCAAGCTGAACTTGAAAATACCCGTCTACTCAACTCCCTCCGTCTCCTACACACCGTCCAGTACTCAACAGGCTCCCTCCCCAAGCTGAACTTGAAAATAACCTTCTACTCAACTCCCTCCGTCTCCAACGCGCCATCCAGTACTCACCACCCTCCGTCTCCAAGACACCACCCGATACTCAACAGGCTCCCTCCCCAAGCTGAACTTGAAAATAATCTTCTACTCAACTCCCTCCGTCTCCAACGCGCCATCCAGTACTCACCACCCTCCGTCTCCACACACCACCCGATACTCAACAGGCTCCCTCCCCAAGCTGAACTTGAAAATACCCTTCTACTCAACATCCTTCGTCTCCAACACACCACCCGATACTCAACAGGCTCCCTCCCCAAGCTGAACTTGAAAATAAACTTCTACTCAACTCCCTCCGTCTCCAACACACCATCCAGTACTCAACACCCTCCGTCTCCACACACCACCCGATACTCAACAGGCTCCCTCCCCAAGCTGAACTTGAGAATGACCTTGTACTCCACTCCCTCCGTCTCCTACACACCATCTGGTACTCCACACCCTCCGTCCCCAACACTCCACCCGATACGCCACACCTGTCTTCTCCGTCACACAACCAACCTTTCTGCTACACTTCTTCCTTTACGGTTGCAGCGCGCGCCTTCTGCCTCCTTCTTTCTCTTGGCATCTCCCAAGGGAAAAGGGGGGTTCATGGTGCGTGCTGGGACCTATACATACATACATATATACATATATATATATGTATGGATACAACTATAAGTGTAAGTTGTTCATATATATATACACGGATTCAACAGGACGCTCTCCGACAGACTTCGCGGACAAAAGCAACGCTGCCCATTCTTGTCTGGTCTGGTTTCTGAACAACGGCATTTTCGCTTGTGGCATCTTTCGCAAACTGGCTCTGGAGGGGGCCCCGAACCACCATTGTCATCTTCAAATCCTTCCTCCGCGGCTAATTGGGCTCAAGCCCGCAAGCGGCCCTAAAAGCCCGCAAATTGGCCAGAGGGAGAGGCCCTTTCAGTGCTTGCGTTACCGCCGCCCCTCGAGGGCCCGCTCAGCCGCAGGAGCCATGGCCGCGCGCGGCGAGCAGGAAGAGCAGCCCCTCGCGGGGCTCAGCGCGGCCCCGGGCGCTCCTCTCGCCCTGGACCCGGAGACCGGGGGCGCCGAGGGGGAGCCGAGCCCGTGGCGGCCGCGCGCGCGCGGTCGTCGCCGCCTTGGTGGCCTGCGCCGTGCTCGCCGCACTGGTGGCGGTCGGTCCGCGGCGGATCCGCGCAGCCGCGCGGCAGGTCGAGGTCGGGCCAGGAGCGCTGGGCTCCACGGTGTCGCTCGCCCTGTCCGATCAGGAGTACAACGAGATGTTGGACGGGATGAATGAATTACGCATGAAGAGAGGCCTTTCTTCCCTCTGCTACAACGAGAAGCTCAACAAGGCAGCGCAGCTGCACGCCGACGACTGTCGTGAACGCAATTTCTGGTCGCACGTCGGGAGTGACGGCAGCAGGATTGAAGACCGCATAGCCAATGTGGGTTACGATGCCTTCACGGAGGGGGAGGAGCTCTTCGGGGGAGAAGGCGTGACTGTCTCCGACGTAATATTCGGTTGGAGTCACCATTTGCACGCCCAGGTCAATTTCTATTTTTCTCACTTTTCCCACTTCGGCTTCGCAAGGAGCGGATCAGTTTGGGTGGGGCTATGGGCCCTTCCAGAAGGAAAGGAGGCCTGCATGCAGGCCGGGGGCGGCGCGGATGGGCACGGCGGCCTGTGCAGAGACTTCGTGCCCGCGGGCGAGTCGTCCTGGCACGACTCCGACGGGGAAACGTGCGCCTGGTACGCAATTGGCAATCATTGCGCGGATCACGGCCACCTTTACAAGAACTTCGGCCACACCGCCGACACGGCTTGCTGCGCTTGCGGTCGCGTCGAGGGCGGCGGTTGTATGGATTTGGTGCCAGACGGGTGGAAGGTGTGGTACGACAGTCATCGCAATCAATGCGACTATTATGGACGGGATGACCTCTGCCAGAGATACGGCGGCCATTTTCCCAATGGGGGTTTGACGGCCAGAATGGCCTGTTGCGTTTGCGGTGGTGGCCGCACGCTTTCCGAAGAACCAACGTCAGATTTTTTAGCACCCCCCCCGCCTTCCAGTGGTTTGGGCTGCCGCGAAGATTGCCAAGATTCCGCGGAGTGCCATTCGACCCTATTCTGCTGTCCCAGGCACCATATTTGCATGGACCCTGTGACATTATCAGCTTTTGGGTCGAACTGCGACGCAGTCGATCAATCTAATCACGCCTAGGTGTCAACGCAATTTGAGTGGGCGACTGCTCGCCTGCGTGCAGTAGCGCGGTTGTGCTTGGAGCGTCGATGTCGGGTGTAGGCCGGCAGCTTGTACCTCAGTGCGCCTTTGACGGATGAAGGAATTACAGGTGGGACCGTCCCAAGCGCGCGTCGATTTTTTTGCCGGATTGGTTGGGGTCTTGCGTTAATTAGGTGCTTGGCTTCATATCGGGGAAACGTAAGACTCGAGTAAGCCGGAATTCGTGTTTGCCGACGTTTTTTTGACGAGCCCGTCCTGGATTTTGATGGCCCAATTTTCGTGGGATGTTTGCAGCGGGAGCCCGCGTCAAATTTCAGGTTGGGCCTCGTCATTTTTATGATGGCCCCCGTCAGGCCAACCCGAGTCCCCCGCACCCGAGTCCTACGTCTCCCCGATCATCGTCGAGCGATTCGGCCCCACGTCCCACAATAGCTCAGTGCGCAAATGCGTGGCACAACGAAGGGGTCCCATTGCTCTGCGCAGCCGCGCGTCCCAGACTTGATGAAGGCGTTATAGACGCTCTCCTTAGCTTGGTGGTCTTGCCTTCGCCTGACCGGCTGGGGGGCGATGCGTGCGATTGCGCGTGCGGAATCTTTCCGCCTAGGGTGAATAGGACAAGGCTACCGTTCTAATCGCGAGATGTTGTGTGCGCAACGGTATCAGTGTGGCGCATTTGAGTGCCATTTCGCGCAAGGGTGCCACCTTGATCGACCTCGACATGGCATTCCTCCTCCTTCCTCCCCCTCCCACTTTCTCATACCCGCCCTCTTTCGTTCCTCGTGCGGCGGTTTCGCTCCCAGTGATAGATTAGGTAAGAGGCTTCCCAAACTTCACATTTGCAAAGCTGCGCAATCTAAGGCGATACCTAGTCCTTGGGACTGCGCTCGAGCGGGCCCTCTGTAGAGGTTGGGAGACGCTTGGGTGAGGGATCAAGAGGAGGATTTGTAGAACCTCAGGACTCAATACACTTTGCCTGCTCCAGTTGCAGCACTGTTCAATCACTCGATCTTGCTGCATGAGCGTTGCGCGACCGCGACGCACCATCTCCGTGCGAAGTAGTGTGCGTGCGCGGCCGGTCCATCCGTGCTCTGAGGCTGGACCTTGGCCTCGAGGCGGACAGGATCAAAATCATCACCTTTCTCCCTCTCCCTTCACCCTGCCCCCTCCTCGAGTGTGAACGCTTCTGTATCTTTCAGAAACCGTTGCCTGCTGCAGTTGCAGCACTGTTCAATCACTCGATCTTGCTGCATGAGCGTTGCGCGACCGCGACGCACCATCTCCGTGCGAAGTAGTGTGCGTACGCGGCGGGTCCATCCGTGCTCTGAGGCTGGACCTTGGCCTCGAGGCGGACAGGATCAAAATCATCACCTTTCTCCCTCTCCCTTCACCCTGCCCCCTCCTCAAGTGTGAACGCTGCTGTATCTTTCAGAAACCGTTGCCTGCTGCAGTTGCAGCACTGTTCAATCACTCGATCTTGCTGCATGAGCGTTGCGCGACCGCGACGCACCATCTCCGTGCGAAGTAGTGTGCGTGCGCGGCCGGTCCATCCGTGCTCTGAGGCTGGACCTTGGCCTCGAGGCGGACAGGATCAAAATCATCACCTTTCTCCCTCTCCCTTCACCCTGCCCCCTCCTCGAGTGTGAACGCTGCTGGATCTTTCCGAAACCGTTGCCTGCTGCAGATGCAGCACTGTTCAATCATTCGATCTGGCTGCATGAGCGTTGCGCGACCGCGACACACCATCTCCGTGCGAAGTAGTGTGCGTGCGCGGCCGGTCCATCCGTGCTCTGAGGCTGGACCTTGGCCTCGAGGCGGACAGGATCAACATCAAAAAAAACAGAAATCATCTTCAAATCCTTCCCCGAGGGCCTCAAGACGGCCCGAGACAGCCCCCAAAGGCTCCACAGAAGATCACCGAAGCGCCTCCGCTGTTCCCCAGGAGGCTGCGATGAGGCGCCCAGAGGCCCCCAAGAGCGCCCGCAGACGCTCGCAGGCGGCCCAAGAGAGCCCCCCACAAAGCGCCCATGTGGCCCCCGCCGAGAGCCCACGTGAGGGCCCAAGTTCAGGAGGGGAAAGCACACACAGACAGAACTCATCGTCGACTCCGAGTCGACGATGAGTCCTCTGACCCACCACCCAGGGCACTGTGGCGGGAGCAGTGACAGCACTTGTGCACAGCATGTTCCGGCGGGAGCCTTCCGGAACACGCTGCAGGAGGAGGAGGAGGAAGATCAGGAGGAGAGAGAGCTGGAGTGGGAGGAGGAGGAGGGGGACGAGGAGGAGGAAGAGGCCTCCAAGACAGCTCCAAAACAGCCGAAGAGGCTTTCAAGAGGGCCCTGGGCGGCCCACGAGGACCCCAAGGTGGTGCCTGAGGCGCCCAAGAAGGCCCGAGAGGGCCCCAAGACGGCCCCAAGAGAAGCCAAAGAAGAAAAACACGAACTGAGAAGCCGAGCTTTGTACCCCGAGAGGTTCTCGGGAAGTCCCAAGAGGCCCCCAAGAAGCTCCCAAGAGGGCCGACGAGGTTCCAAGAGATCTCCCAAGGTGGCCCCAAGAGGCACAACTCATTGTTTTACGATTGGGCTTTGACGGGTATTAATTGTTTCGGCTTTTTGGCATCCCGATGCTCCAAGACGGCCCAAGAGGCTTCCGATACCGCTCCAATATAGAGGAAGAGGCCTCCAAGAGGGCCCCAAGACGGTCCGCGAGGGCCCCAAGACGGTGCTTGAGGCGCCCAAGACGGCCCGAGAGGGCCCCAAGAGCCCCAAGAGAGGCCCAAGAAGGGGAACATGACCCAACAGCAGAGCGTTCCCCCCAGAAGGCCCACAGGAGGCCGCAAGAGGACCCCAACAGTTCCCGAGGGCCCAAAAGGCCCCTAGGAGACGTCCAAGAGGTTTTAAAATAGCCCAAGAGTGCCCTCGATGCGTCAAAACTGCTTCCAGGAGGCCCGCGGGAGGCTTCCGGATTGCCTCAATCTGGCCGCAGGTGGCCTCAAGAAGAGGCCTCCACGCAGCCAAGACGGCCAATGACAGATTGCAGAACCGATGCCCCCAAGGGACCCTCAGACGCCCCCCCCAAGAGGCACCCAAGAGGTGCCTCCAACAGCCAGTTGACGAAGCATGCGGAACACACCAGAAGCTCCTCAGATGCCGTCGCGCGCTTGTGCTTGATAGCGTTGTCCAAGATGGTCCAGCGCCCCCCCGGCCTGGGCTAGAACCTGAGCGCGCGCGAAGCGCGCGCGATGGTTTTGTATTATACTATATAGGTATACGTATATTCAGATGCATATGTTTTATGTAGGTGTACACGTCTATGTGTATGTATATATATATATATATATTGTTAAAAAACTCTTATGTATACAACACCTGTGTATACTTATTTTGTATGTCGATAGTTGTATATGTATGTGTATTTCTATAGGTTTATGTGTGTGTGTAGGTTCATGTATGCGTATTTGTACAGGTTCGGTAGTTGTATATGTATACGGATATGCATCTGTATATCTTTATGTGCCTCACGTATAGGTATGTGTATATACTTATGTATATGTATATGTATATGTTCATGTCTCTGTTTCTGTATGTAGATCGTCATCTGCACATCTATATCGCAATTCTTTACGCTTCGCGTATCCCCACCAGCCCGTCCAGAAACGACGCCCAGGCGAGTAGAGGGTCGTCCTGAGGGGCTTTTCGGCGTCTTGGGTGCCTCGGGGGGGCCTCTTTGGGCCGTTTGGGATCCTCTTGGGGGCCTCCTGGGGGCCCCTTGGGGCCATCTTGGGGCCATCTTGGGGCCTCTTGGTGCCTCCTGGGCGCTTCTTGGGGCCATTTTGGAGGAAATCGATCAAAGAAGAGGGGAGCTTTAATTAACGCTGGCCCCTCAGAAGGCCAAAATGGGGCCAAAACCTTAGTACAATCAATGATTTTGGCTTCAAAGAAGAGGGGAGCTGTAATTAGCACTGCCCCCTCAGAAGGCCAAAATGGGGCCAAAACCGTAGTAAAATCAATGATTTTCGCTTCACAGATGAGGCGAGCACTTTTCTGCCTCCCCCCGTCGGGGCCAGAATCCTCGTGAAGGGTGTCGAATTTTAGCCCTCCCAGGAGTCGAAAAAGACCCCTCCAACGACCCGCGAAAGGACCTCTCCAGGCCCAGGGGTAGGGGGTAGGGGGAGGGGTAAACCCCTCCCCGAAGGGGAAGAAGGGGGGTTGAGAACAGAGAGAGCTCGCTAAACCACTCACGCCCAAAGGGCTGGTGGGATTGCTAAGTATTCGCTCTCGCCCAGACGCGGACCATTTTTCTGGATTCGAGTCCCTTCTCTTTGTTGTTGCCCCCCTCCACTCGTTGATGCCTGTGCGTAGGATGTTCGCCTGGCCTTGGCTTGCTACGGCGCCTGCTCCTCCCTGGTCTTCCGCGTTGTTGCTGCTTGCTGATGGACACCGCTAGTATCCTTTGGGCATGGGCCGTGTACGGGCTACGCCCGGATTTCGGGCTATGCCGCTCGTGCCCCACGTGCAACGTTGTGCCAAGCTCACAGAAGAGAGGGGGCTACCCCACCATACCCCGCAGTCCGACCCGACGTTGGACTCTTTTTTTCGGAGCGCCGCCGCCGCCACCTCCTTTTCCTCCTGCTGAGGGGGGGCTTTTTTGGGGTAGAACAAGTCAGCGCAATGGGAAGGGATGGGCGGGAGGAACCGGACGCCACATACGGCGCGAGCGCGCCTAGCTTGCCTTTCTTCTTCTCCTCTCTCCTTTCCGCCTCCCTCCTTTCCTCCCGCCTCTCTCCTTTCCTCCCCTCCTCCTCTTTACCCTCTTCTCCTCTCCCCTTTTCCCCCCTCTCCTCCCCTCCCTTCCCCTGCTCTCCGCTCCCGTTCCTCCCTTCTCCCCCTCCGCTTCTCGGTCGCCTCTCTCTCCTCTGGGGGCTGCGGCCCGCGTACGGCGGGCTTCGTGACCACGACGTGGCCAGGGCTTAGGCCTTGGCCGCGGCCCCCCCCCCCCTCGTTCCCTCTCGTCCTCTCGTTCTCCTCCTCCCCCTCCTTCCTCCCTCTGTGTCCTCCTCGTCTCCCCCATTCCTCCTCTTCTTTTATCCCCCCTTCCTCCCCCGTGCCCCCTTCGAAGGGGGCTTCCAAGGTCCGAGGCCCCAGAAGATGAGGAGAGTGACCAGGAGCGTCCCCGTCGTCGACGCCATCCTCGAGGACGGCGGCGACGACGGCGTTGGCGGTGGCGGCGGCGGCGGCGACGACGACAGACGATGTCGACGACGACTGCGGCGATTGCGGCGACTGCGGCGGCGGCGACGGCGTCGACGGCGAAGTCGACGATGGCCCTGGCGACGGTGGCGACGATCACCGCGATGGCGGCGGCGGCCACGGCGGCGACGACGCCGGCGACGAGGGCCGATGGCCGACGGCGGCAGCGACGAGGTCGACGACGTCGGCGGCGGCGGCGGCGGCGGCGAGGCCCCCACGGGCCGACGGCGCCCAGGTCCTGCTCCGCACGCGCCTCGGGCGGCGGGTGCCGCAGTGCGCCTTTGCGGCGGCGGCGGGGCCGAGCCAGGAGGGCCCCTCGGGGGGGGGGGGGAGCGCCCCCTCCAGCTCCCTGCTCCTCCCAAGAAGCTCCAGCCTCCTGCTTCTTCTTCCGCCTCCTCCTCCTCCCAGCTCCTTCTCCTCCTGCTCCTCCTACTCCCCCTCCTCCTCCTCCTCCTCCTCCTCCTCCTCCTCCTCCTCCCCCTCCTCCTTCCTTCTCCCTCTTCTCCGAACTCCACCCTCCTGCGTCCTCCTTCCTTATCTCTCTCCTCCTCCCAGCACAACCCTTTTCTCTCCTTCTCCTCCTTCTCCTCCCTCCTTCCTCCTGCCCCCTCCCTCCCTCCTGGCTCTCGCGTCCTCCTGCTCCTCTATTCCTCCTTTTTTATCTCTCTGTCTTTGCCACTCATCCTGAGTTCCCATGTGTATCATTGTGCCTCCCATCTTATCCTCTTCTGTTGCCCAGTTTGATCACTGCTCTCTCTTTTGCGCCTCAGCTGTTTGGAACGAGCCTTGTACCCAGACCGCGCTCACAGTACCAGGCTCGGTGGTCTCCTCGCTGAATTCCAGATACAGCATGCGATAGTGGGTTTGACTCACAGAAAATCTCAGGTTGGGACTCTTTCGCATCTCGGTTCATTCCAGCTACGTCGCAGCAAAGTGGGGCAGAGGTTCGCGTGCAGTGTCAAGCGCCGTGCACGTACATATATGTCATATGCAGTGGTGGAGAAAAGCAGCACCACATCTCGAGCTGGACATCCTCTCTCGTCGTCCCGTTTCTGCCCCTGTTGTGTTCTTCGCAAAGCCCAGGAGCATCACTAGCGTATTAGAGCAAGGCGGCATAGTGCGTGTCAACAGTGGCTCTGCTGATCGTCGAAGGGTACCATTGATCCAAGCGTTCGTGGAGTCAGGACACCAGCTGTACATGCTCATGGGAGCCCGCCTGTGTCTACTCGATGAGCAATGGCGCAAGTTCCAGACGGAGATGGCGGTGTGGGGTATGCAGACGAACGATTGGTTGCAGGCTGGCTTCGGCATCTACGGCAGGCATGAGTGGGGCCACGCGAGCTCCACGAGCATGAGCTCGAGCCCGCGCTCCCCAAGACCTTGGAGTCGCTGGGGCGTGGGTCCAAGTATGCGGAGCTGGAGTTCTGCAGCTTTCATGATTCAATCTTCAGTCTCACAGCCGCAAGCACTGAAGCAAGTTTGGGCAGTTCTTGACATCAGTCAGTCGAAGCATTCGCACTTATCGATGGGAATTGTCGGCGCTCAACTTCGTTCGTGGCCATGGGAGAGGCGGGATCACCGCCTCATTCGTGCATGCACAATGCGTTTGTTGGAAACCTGTGCAGTACAGGCCCTGCAGCGGTCCAGCCTTTTGGAATCTGATCGGACTAGCCCCAGTCCTGTCGGGTTTTCTCGCGTGTAAAGCATGAGCTCAGGGCGACATCGCAAAACAAAAATCAATGCGGGCGCGCACACAGTTTCACATTCTTCCCCCAGTATGGCAGCCTGACGTCTTCAGCCAGGATGAGCCGATCGTCCACATCGCCCTTCTGAGCCTCTTGGGCGGAGACACGCACCCCCACGCCTCAGTCGTAGATGTGCTCGGATCCCACTCGCCGCTCTACATGGGAAGGCTACCCGGTCACCTACCTGGCCTCTCGGGGTGCATCCAGGAACGTGCTCCCAGACACGCACCACACCGAGGGCCCCGAGGGCCCCTGTGGCTACACGATCCTCAACGGCTGGGGCTACCCTTCGCGCTCTTGCAGCGGAGTGGCGACCGCTGCCGCGCGCTGGCCGCATCTCATGCGTCCTTTTGCACTTCAAGCGCGAACTCCAGGCAGATTCAGACAGATCGATTCGCAAGATGGCGTCCTCGATGAGGTTCGAACCAACACGTGCGTGGCATGCTGATGGGCTTCGCGTTTCTTCCAGAGCATGCGGGGTGTGGAAGGACCAGGACCGAGGATATGGCCTTGCGCATGCAAGGAGAAAGCGTGGCGTAGGCGTTGAAGTCATGTTGTGGAGAAGCTGTCGCAGCTCGTGGACACCAAGTCTTCCTCTCTCAAAGGCAACGTCGACCGCGAGGTCAGCCCCGCGCCGGTGGCAGGCGCCTGACAAGACGACGACCTTCACCAGGCCTGAGGCTGGGTGGCCCCAGTCGCTGGCACGCCTGAAGAATATGACCCCGTCCAAGATCACGTGGGAAGCGTCGGCCAAAGTCTAAGAGAAAAGGTTAACGACAATCTACAGTGTGAATGATCACAAGTGCACCCTGACGCATCTCCCCCCAAAGCAGTTCCTACATTCAAATCTCAGCGGGTTCGGTCAGTCATGGGTATCATTGATGGCATTGCGATCTGAAGATCAGGGTCTCCCCATCCAGCTGTGGAGCATGCGAGTGACGAGTGGCAGGACGAACGTGGTGATGGAGGCCCCGTGGGCCCAGTGAGTTTCGTGGATGCTTTGATTTTTGGGTTCGTTGCAGCCTCTCTCTTGTTTTGCTCTTTACACGTGCGAGCGACTGGCTTCTAGTCCACGTCGTGAAGGCGTGCGTCGCGCTGCGTTGGACCCATGTGCGAGAGGCAGGCTTGCTTCGACGTGGAGCTGGTGCATGCCATCATCCTTTTCAGCTCTGAGCGAGAACAGATGGCCTCCGCGCCCATCTTAAAGGGCAGATCCCCCTCCCCCTGTCGCATCGCCTCCGCATCCCATAGCATAGTAACACCCATCGGATCCGTTCGCACAGGCAGCGTGCAGCCCATGATTTTCAGAGTGGGACAATAGATAGACTGCCCAGCATAGCTCCCAGTTCTGACCTGTGGAGTACGCCTAGGAACCAGACCGGACTCGGGACTCTCTCTCTCTTTTCCCCTCTCCCCCTCCGCCTCCTCCCTCCCTCCTTCCCTCGTGCTCTCTCCCTTCTCCTCCTCCCTCCTCTGTCCTCCGGCCCTGCCTCCTCCTCCCCTTTTTCCCTCTCTCTCCCTTCCTGCCCCGTTGGGCCCCCCCGCGGGCAGCCCTGCCCACAGGAAAATACCGGCACTGCGACCCAGACGCCTCCTCGCGACCTGCCCCTGCCACCCGCCCCCCCTCAAGAGGGGAAAAAAACACACAGACACAATGAATCCTCGAGTCCTCAGAGAATATGGGAAAATATGGGATGTGGGGGGGAAGACAGAGACCCAGAAAATATGGGAAAATATGGGGAATCCTTTTATTTGTGTGTCTTTATTTGTGTGTCCCAGGGCCCCTTCACACCCGCCCCCCCGGCCGGCCACAGGATGGCGGCGGCGAGGCCTCGTCGGAGGGTGCCGTGGCGAGCGGGTCCACGTCGGTCCACGGTGCGGCTGCCCCTGCGCCAGCGGCCCGCAGCGTCGAGGAGGCGGGGTGAGCAGGGGAGGGGGGGCACGCCGGTCGTTGGAAGTAGGGTCTTTGGATTTCCCGATCCCAATCCGCTTCGGGTGCCTTCCTATTCCAAGAGTCTGCAGGGTTTAGCTGCGTTTCGTCATTCTTTGGGAGGGCCTGCACCCAAGTTACTTGATCCGCCTTTCTGCTTCATGTTTCTGCCTGCTGCAACCGACCGCCGGGTAGTGGCGGTCACGGGCACGCGGGCAGCCGAGTGAGCGCGTGCATGCATGCGCGCTTGCGTAGTACGATGCTGACGCATTCACGCAGGCGTACTTGTGCTCGAGCGATCGTCCACACTGAGAATCCCCAGGGGCGGGGCGGCATTCTGAATTTCGCATTTGGTGGAACGCCTATCTGCCTCGGCCTGCAACACATGCTGGGGCCGACCTGAATCCCGTTGCGGAAACGAAACGTCGCCAAGCCGCCAGGCTTCGAGCAGCTTCGTCCAGCGACGAGCTCACCCCACCCGTCCTTCCACGTATGGCGGCGCCCCCTCCCTCCAAGCCTTGCCCTCCAAAGCATGCTCGGACGCCTGCCCCTACGGAAGCGTCCTGGCGCCCTGCTCGAGCAGGTCACCCAGAGCAGGAAGATGAAGACGCGGTGGCGGATGCGGAGGAGAATGAGGAGGAGTAGGAGGGCCAAGATCAGGATGAGCATGATGATGAGCATTCGGATGAGGATGGCGATGGTGATGGTGATGATGCTTGCTGTGAAGATTATGATGATGATGCTGCTGATGATGACTATGATGCTGATGACACTGATGACGATGATGCTCATGCTCATGATGCTGATGCTGCTGATCATGATGACGGTGATGCTGATGATGATGAGGATGATGCTGATGCTGACTATCATGATGATGCTGATGCTGGTGATGCTGATGCTGATGGTGATGATGGTGACGTTGACGGTGATGATGCTGATGATGGCGATGCTGATGATGCTGATGCTGATGATGCTGATGATGCTGCCGATGATGATGTTACTGCTGCAGATGATGGCGACTGTGATGATGCCGATGATCACGGTGATGGTGGTGTTGATTATGATGATGATGATGATGCTGATGGTGATGGTGATGATGCTGAATCTGCTGATGATCAGGATGCTGATGATGATGATGCTGAGGATGATGATGATGATGATGATGATGATGATGATGATGATGATGATGATGATGATGATGATGATGATGATGATGATGATGATGATGATGATGATGATGATGATGATGATGTTGATGATGATGATGATGATGATGATGATGATGATGATGATGATGATGATGATGATGATGATGATGATGATGATGATGATGATGCTGGTGATGATGCTGATGATGATGCTGATGATGACGATGATGGTGATGCTGCTGCTGCTGCTTTCGACCAGGAGGGGGAGGCGGAGGAGGAGGAGGAGGAGACGGATGCGGACGGGAGGATGATGGTGGTGGTGGTGATGGTGGTGTTGCTGCTGCTGCTGCTGCTGCTGCTGCTTGTGGGTGGTTGTGTGGGGTGGTTGTGATTGTAAGTGAGGGGAAGAGTAACGCTAGGAAAAGGCGATGAGGGCGAGGGGGAGGAGGAGGAGGAGGAGGAGGAGGAGGAGGAGGAGGAGGAGGAGGGGGAGGCGGAGAGATCAGGCCATGCCGTTGGTTGTGGGCCTTGCCTCAGGTGCAGCGACAATGACGCTGCCCGTCGGCGACTGGATGGTGCCCTGGCTTCGCGGTGTTCTTGCGTCCTCCGAATCTGTGTGCTCCGGGCAGGATGATTGAGCCATGAAGGGAGCATTGCACCGCAACCATTATATTCGAGGATTTGATGTCCGCCATTGGCACCATTTCCCTCCCTCAGCTTCCGTTTCCCAGCGGAGGCAGCAGATGTCAGAACATCCCCCCGTGCGCACAGCATTCTTTCGTTGTCTTTGTTGTCAGAAGCAGCGACGTCGTTCGAAGAGCAGGAGAACGACGAGGAGGAGAAGGACGATGAGCATGAGCTAGGCTAGCCAGCTCGAACGTCACATCGTGACCTGCCCGACCTCACTCCCCTTCCCATCGTAGTGGAACCAGCGTCGGAACACAGCAACACCTGCTCTGGCCTTCGCCCCCCCTGTCGACCGTGCTCGAATGCGTTCAAGCGAACACGCGGCGCCAGTTGGGTGTGGCAGTTCGTCGAACCCCCCCGGGAACCCCCCATGTTTTATCATATATCGAACAGACTTTTATTTTAGTTTTTGTTTTTCTGTGGTTCTTCCAGGGTTTTTTTTGGGGAACCCCGAAACAAACACCCAATTCGTTTTTCTCTTCTTTCTTTTTGGAGAGTTTTTTATGCGTGTTTCCTTTTGGTTTTCCAGGGGGAAACCCGAGCAAAAAACCAGACTCGTTATTTAATGTTTTTTTGTTCTGCGGTTTTTTGGTGGTTTCCCGGGGGGAACCCCAAACAAACCTTAAACTCGTTTTTTTTCCTTAGGTTTTCAGTGTCTTTTTTTGGGGGGGGGGGGGGTCTTTTCTGGGAGGGGAAATTTCAGAAGCAAAAACCCAACTCGGAAGTTTTTCGGAGGTTCCCCCCGCCCGACAACCCCAGAAAAACGCAAGCAAAACAACCGAATAACCTCTCGAGTTGCGAGTTGGGGGTTCCCGGGGGGTTGGCCCGAGTTGTGATTTGAAGGGCTTTGCCCGCTCGCTCCCAGGAACCCGCTGAAAAACATGAGAACCCCCCCCAAGCTCCCCCCCTAGGATCCGTTGGGGAAAACCCTCGAACAATTGTTTCTTTCGTCGGCCGCCTTGGGGCCCCACACTGAAAAACAAAGCTATTTCAGATCCCCCGCCGGGACCCCCCCGAAAAAAAACCGAACTCGTTTTTTTTTTTCCGGGTGTTTTTCCGGGTTGCGACCCTCCGAAAACAGTCCAACCGGGGGATTTTGTTGTTGTTGCAGCAGTTTTTCGGGAGTTCTGGGGCCCCTCACTCATGCAAAAAGAAAACTATTTCAGAAACTCCCCCGGGGAACCACCGAATTACTCCCCAACTCGAGTTTTTTTCTATTGTTTTTCGGTGGTTTTGTCTGGGGGGGAAACTCCAGAAAAACTCCCCCACTTCCGAGTTTTTTTGTTGCTTTTTAAATTGTTTTTTTGGGGGAACTCAACAACGAACCTCCCAACTCGGGTTCTTTTCATTTTTCAGAGGTCCTGGGGCCCCACAATGAAAAACCATGTTATTTCAGAAGCCCCTCCTGGGAACACCCGAAAAAGCTTCCCCACTCTTGGGGCTTCTGAGATTTTTCGGTGGTTTTTCGGGGGTTGTTGGAAGGTTTTTCCAGACATAGTTTTCTTTTATCCCAGACCACTTCAAGGTCCCCCCCCTTTCCCCCGGTATCGGGGGGGACAAATCTAGAACAACTCTTCAACTCGGGGGGCGGAAACTCTTGAAGAATCTTCTAATTCTGGGGTTCTTCGGTGGTTCTTGGGCCCTACACTTCAAACCAGATTATTTCTGAACCCCTCCCGGAAAACCTTCGAACATCCCGCCGATTATGTTTTTTATGTTTTTTTTCAGGGGATTTGGAGACCCCGATTTAAAACAACAACAACAACACATCTTTGTGAACATCACGCCGGAAAACAAGAGACCAATTGCGAGTTGGGTGGTTTTTTCTGTTGTTTTTCGTGGGTTCTGGGGCCCCACAACTAAAAACACAACTATTTATGATAATCTCCTGGGAAAGCAGCGAAAAGAACTTCGAACCCGGGTTTTGTTTTATTTTTTATTCGGTGGATTTTGGGGCCCACAATTAAACACAAGACTATTTATGAAACCCTTCCGGAAAACTCCAGAACACACCTCCATTTCGATTTTTTTCTGTGTTTTTTAGTGTGTTCTGGGGCTCCGCATTTAAAACACGATTATTTCCGAACACCCAGCGGACAACCTCAGAAAAACCTGCCAAGTCTGGGGTTGTTCTGATGTTTTTCGGAGGGGCTCCCAGCTCGGTAGATTTTCTAGGTTTCTGTCGGGGGTTCTGGTGCCCCACACATGCGATAGATACTAGTTCTGGGCCCTCCTTGAACCCCTCCGAAAAACTGTCCACCTCTAAGTGTTTTCTGTTTTTGTTCGGGGGTTCTGGGGCTCCACACTTGAACAAGATTACACGCCGGTCGTTGAAAGTAGGTATCTTTGGATTCCCAGATACCAATCTACTTCAAGCGCCTTCCTACTTCATGTTCTTACCTATTTCTTCCGGCCGACATGTATTTCTGAAAATCCACTAGCAAAGTCATTAACAAAAACACCTCTGGGCCCGCCTGCCGCCCAGCCGCCCCCCGCCGCCCGTTCGCCGGTGCTTCCGCGTTCCACAGCGTGCACACTGGCGCGCCGCGCGCGGTCACGCACTTTGGCGCGCCGCGCGTTCTGACAACTCCGTTCTTGCAGCAGGATGCTGTTGAGTACTGGGTGATGCGTTGGCTCGGATGCAACTCCTGGGAGGTCAAATTCTGATTTTGCCCTGGTCCGAACTCCGGCTTAATCCCGCTTAATCCCGCTTAATCCTTCTTAATCCGAGGCCCACTCCGGCGTAACAGCTCCCAAATGGGGCTTAATCTTCCTTGACCTTTCCGACGAAAACCTCCCAGTAGTTGCCTCCTAACGTTGGAGACGGGAGCTATTGGGTACCCGGTGTTGTGTTGGTGACGGACGTTGTTGACTACTGGGCGCTGTGTTGAAGGCGGAAGCACGGCGGGCGGGCGGCGGGGAGCGGGCGGCGGGCGGGCGGGCGGCGGGCGCATCGGGATTGGAACAGAACTCCTACGGATTCTTGCTTGCAGTGGGATGCTGTTGAGTACTGGGTGTTGCGTTGGAGACGGGCGCTGTTGAGTACTGGGTTTGTGTTGGAGACGGGCGCTGTTGAGTACTGGGTTTCGTTATAAACGCGGGAGCACGGCGAACGGGCAGCGGGGGGCGGGCGGGCGGAGGGCGGGCGGGTGGCGGGCGGATCGGGATTTGAACAACATTTCAAAGGATTCTTTCTTGCAGCGGGAGGCTGTTGAGTACTGGGTGCGTTGGAGACGGACGCTGTTGAGTACTGGGTGTTGTGTTGGAGACGGGCGCTGTTGAGTGCGCGGAAACGTGGCGGGGGGCGGGGCGGCGGGCGGTCGGGCGGCGGTCGGGCGGGCAGCGGGCGGGCGGATCGGAAGTTGAATGCAAGGCCTAAGGATTCTTTCTCTTTCAGCGGGATAGTGTTGATCACTGGGTGTTGCGTTGGAGACGGAGGCTGTTGAGTACCCTGTATTGTGTTGGAGACGGGAGCTGTCGAGTACTGGGTGTTGTGTTGAACGCGGAAGCACAGAGAACGGGCGACGGGGGGCGAGCGGGGGGCGGGCGGGCGGACGGCGGGCGGACGGATCGGGATTCGAATAGAACACCTAGGGATTCTCTCTTGCAGCGGGATGCTGTTGAGCACTAGGTGTTGTGTTGGAGACTGACGCTGTTAAGTACTGGGTTTGTGTTGGAGACGGGCGCTGTTGAGTACTGGGTGTTGCTATAAACGTGGAAGCACGGCGAACGGGCAGCGGGGGGCGGGCGGGCGGACGGATCGGGATTCGAATAGAACACCTAGGGATTCTCTCTTGCAGCGGGATGCTGTTGAGTACTAGGTGTTGTGTTGGAGACGGACGCTGTTGAGTACTGGGTGTTGTATTGGAGCCGGACATTGTTGAGTACTGGATGCTGTGTTGAACGCGGAAGCACGGCGGGCGGGCGGCGGGGAGCGGGGCGGCGGGCGGGCGGGCGGCGGACGGGCGGATCGGGATTTTAGTGCAACTCCCCAGGGTTCTCTCTCGCAGTGGGACGCTTTTTTTTCATCATCGGTCCCATAGGGCATGAACTCTGCTATCAGCGGCGACCGAGGGAGGCGTATGCTCGAACCTTGGTCGAGAGCGTCCTGGGGCGTTGCACAGGAGGCTCATAAAACAAAACACGCAGAGCACCGAGCACACGGCGCCAGCACGGTCTACGAAGCTAAACTTCGACAGACCACTGGTGACACGTACACGCACTCTGAGGCAGCACTAAACGCGGTCGACGAGGGACGCCTCCTCCTCGGCTGCCACAAGAGGAGCCTCGTCCTCATCATGGGCGAGGCGCGCGGCTACCACGCGCAAAGTTTGGCCAGGAGGCTCTCGTGGCTCCTGTCCATCAACAGAAGAGACAAACAAAGATCTCGACGCCTCTTCGTCGGCAGCAAAATCGTCGGCAGGCTCCTCTTCGCGCGCAAGCGCGCTGGAGGGCCTCTGACTCAATGCCGACGGGAGGTGACGAGACGACGTGACAACTCGATCAATCGAACTGGCGGCCGCCTCCTTTGCCTGGATCCGCGCCTGCAGCGCGATCATACCAGGCGTTTGGACGAGGCCAGAAGCATGAGCTCCTGAGACGACCACCTCCTGCGGCGGCGGCTGAGACGCAGAAAACACAAAAAACGAGCTGCCTCTTCTCGTGCTGCTCGTGAGCCTCGAAGGGTCACGATAATGCGGGTAGAGGCCATTGTATATGCGGCGGAGCGTCGTCGGAGCTCCGCTCAACCGACGTTGGGAACACTCCTGTCCGAGCTTATGGCAGCGGCTAGCAGTGTACGCTCCGCACACGATGCAAAAGAAAAGTGTTTTCTCGGCATCGCCCTTTAAGACACGGCAGTGGGCAAGAGTGTGACCTAGGCTGACGT